AATGTTCCAGAACCTTATGGAATTAGGGTTGGATGAAAATCACTCCATCCCACATGGGAAAGGAGTGAAATTTCGTGGTTAGGCCTCCATCCCACATGGGAAGGAGTACTAAACCCTAGGAGGCATCCAAGGCTATAAATAGGGCCTTAGGGATTTCATTCCTCCTTGCACCTTGGCTTGAAGTTTCGCCATCCCTTCTTCCTCCCCCTCTTAGGGACGATTTCTAACCCCTTTGGGTTTGTGAAATTGACCCTTCTCCTAGTTATTTTTATTCCAGTCTTTGGTGTCATTGGGTGTGATACCATTAGAGGGATTCTGGTTTGGATCCTTTCATCCAAGCAACTTCATGGAGGTTCAAGATCTCAAGCATAGAGATCAAGGACTACATAAGAGGTATGTTTTCTTACTTATGTTTTAGTTTTCTAGGGTTGATGTAATTAGCATGAAACCATAGATCCATAGGTTGCATGTACACTTAGGTATATCGTTGTTTCGATTTTCCCGCTACCTAGTTTTAGAGTGTATTTGATGCGTAGAAAACCCAACAGTGTTATCATCAAAGAGGGGATTGATAATCTCAAATACTTGTATATATTTTATTAATCACAAACCCTCCCTCATATGCCCAAACACTAAAATGGATAAAGGATTAGAAGCATTCCATCTAAAGATAAAACATGGAATGACTTTTCTCACTTGGCCCTTTTACCCTTCTAGAATATATTTTCTATATCCTGGGTTTGTTTACATTATGACCCACTAGGTATGAATTCGCATCAAAATGTACCAAAAATACAACATAGAAACTATTTATGGATGGTTAGTAAGGATACGGTTAGTGTTGGTGATTTTAGAGTCACCATGGTCGGGTGGCTCTAATGGATTCACCTGTTTCATTTTGAGTTATGGAGATTATATTGTGCCAATGATATTCAAAATCATGGTTATAATGCAAGCAATGAGGTGGGGAACACACGCTTGCATAAACCTAGACTACAATATGTATATAAAAGGTTTAAGGAAAATCAAGCATGACTAAACTTGGGAAATTTGAAATCAATTAAGTTAAATACTTGAAATTGATGAAAGCATGTATAAATCAATGTATTAATGCTTCCTTAAATCTCTTAGCCATTGTGAGTTAATGAACTCATAAAAAATTAATATGTTGGGGGTTACACTTGTTAATGGAATGTAATTAACACCTTGGGGTTACAACTTTGGCGTTAATGAACTCCTTAAAGGTGTAGGTTACAACTTTGGTATTAATGAGCTCCTTAATGGTGTAGGTTACACCTTTGGTATTCATGAATGCCTTAATGGTGTAGGTTACATTTGCGGAGTTAATGAGCTCCATAATTTCACCTTGTAAGTTACATCTTCTACTTAGTATAAAAGGAGAAGAGATGTTCATTTGTAGAATTATGGAAACTTGATTTATTGACAGTTTCACTTAAACAAACGAATTCTCTAGAAACTGTTAACACAATTTTGGTGCCTCAATATTGTGTTTCCTTGGGCAGATTATCCTTGTAGAGAATTTGTGTTACCCAGGCATATGGGCAAATTACTTAGCAAAGAAAGTGATCACACGATTTGTTCGAACTAATCTGATACTTACCATCTTTACCCCATTCACTGTAACGTCAGGGTTTCGGGGCTAATCATTTTTAGACTATGTAATAGTCTAGGTCAACTATTGTAACTCTTTTTGAAGTAATAAAGATGAAATATTTGAATACTATGTGAATTATATGTATTTGTGTGCTTATTATTCAATTATAAATGTATAATTAATAAAGAATAAAAATAAGCGTCAAAATTAAAGTGTAAGATAAGCCCGATATCTTTACATAAAGTTGTAGTGCTCGAAACAAGGATTCTGAAGATATAAAGAACGCCGAAATCTGAGTTATAACGAAGAAGTTATGACCCGTCGAAGTTTCGCGACGGAACCGGCTCGGCACCGGGAAGCGTAAATAGTGAATTTATGATAGAGCGACTTTTAGCCTTAGCGATCTAAACAAAAGTCGTAGAAAACGTTAAACCGAGAGTGTCCATAAAAAGAACGCCCAAATCTGACTTCGTATGAGGAAGTTATGATTTTTCTAAGATTTGGCATAACAGTGCACGACCCGAAACTCGAATTTTAGTTCGAGCGGTTTTTGGCTTACGCGACCTAAATGAGAGTTGAAGATCTCATTAATAGGAACTCAACGACAAAAAGACAGACGAAAACGGAGTCCGTATGTAAAAGTTATGAATTTTACGCGTACATTTAACAGTGTAATCACCTCCTACTGTTAAATTTAAGATTGGTCGAGAATTAGCCCACGGAATAAAAAGTAAAGTTGTAGATTTTATTTTTACCTACGCGTGGATATAAATAACGTAAAAAACAGAGCTCGTATACGAAAAGTTATGCACGAAGCTTAGTCTCTACTTTTCGAGCGCGGCGAATTCAATACAGTTTTGTAAATCCGAGATAGAATGAGAATTAGCCAACGAGGTCTAAATGAAAGTTGTAGTACTCGTAAATACCAATGCGTGGATATAAAGAACATAGAAAACGGAGCTCGTACGCGAAAGATACAGACGAAGCTTGGAGGCTACTTTACTATAAAATTCCTATAAATAAGAGATGAACTCTTCATAATTTCTTCACACCATAAGTCTTTCTTTCTCTCTCTAACTTCTCTCTAGCCTCCCTAAACCCCTCCCAAGTCTAGGGAACCTCCCTAGCACGAGAAGGAAGCCACGGAGCGCCCGACGGCTCCGAGAAGAAAAGCTTTCGGCTCGGAAACGCTGCTCCAGCGAAGCCCGGTTTTTAATAAAAACTCGTTGTAAGTGAGCTACACTTATACTATATTTAATATAGCTTTTATTTAAATATAGTAATGTTAATAGGACCTTATCATAATTATTTGGACTATTATTATGGGTTATATAAGTGTCGTTATAATATCTTTTTAACCACTCGCGGTACGGGGAATCTGGTTTTGGAGGGCCGCTTGGGTTGCTGGATTCAGAAGTGTTATATGCCAAAATGATCTTGCCCTCCGATGTTCCATGTCTGGCCCCTGTCTGTACATAGTGGGTGAAGAGTATTGTATAATAGCTAGACTATTAATTAGTCTCGGTGAATATTAGACTAAGCTCTAGTGGTAATGATACTAGGTTTTGTCAAAGGAAAATTGTTTTAAGAGTAATGAAGTGCTGTCCGAGTACCGAGTCACCACCTTATCAAGTGAGTGCATAGTCTCTTTCATCTTACACATAGATATGAAGTATTTAATATAAATTACGTGCTATGTATGCATATTGTCTGTATACTTGTTGTCTATGCTGTGTGAAAGATTTTAAACATATTTTAAATGTTTTAAATTGTATATGTATTTTATATCTACAAATATATTGGGTATAACATGGGTAGATGAATGATGAGGGACGAAAGCTGATATAGAGGAACATTGGTAGTGTGGACATAGTGCCCTATAGGTGGACATTGGCAGCAATGGACCTAGTACCCTATAGATGAGCATCGGTAGATGCGCCATAACCTGTAGATGTTTTTGGATCTACGAGGTACTCTAAACATCCTAGCAGCTGCGCTCTAAGGATAGTTTCAGTAGCTGCGCCTAATAGAGGACATTATAACCGTGATAGTAGCGTTTAAAGGACAATACCGGCAGAATATTAGCAGATGCGCCTAAGTGATAATATTAGCAGTTGTGCTTGACAGATGTGTCATTAGCAACGATGGATTTCGTGTTTATTCCTTAGGATAATCCTTAGGAATGAATGAACGAGGAATAGCTGATTCGTAGGGTAGATCCTTAAGAGTAAAGAAGATAATGGGGATGGGTAATTGAGTTGATTGTTTGATGTTTAAACATAATAATTATATTATTGTGGGTTGAAAACCCTATGTACTCACCAGGTTTCCCAACCTGACCCACTCAAGATTATTTGTATCACAGGTGTCGATATGAAGCTACTTTACACTGAGAGATTTAAAAGAGATGTAGATCACTAGTGTAAATGAATGTAAGTTCTGTTTATGCTTATGTTTCTGTATTGACAATGACATCCCAAATGTTTTAAAATGAATAAAAATACATTTCTTCGGAAATGCTTTGATAACATATTTATCATGTTTTACTGGGAACAAATTCCGCAACATTTTTATTAAAAGAAGTACTCTGATTTTTATAAAGCATAAACACAATCGGTATTTTCTGGCCATGAAAATGGGGATGTCACATTCACCCATATTCCCCCAACAATTAGCATATTCATTTATGGGAGAATTTTGTATATACCCTTATTTAAACATCAAAATATCATATTTTCCCGATGTAATTTGAAAATATCTTATTTACTTTTCTTAAGCTTTCAAAATATCAAATATGCCCAAAAACAAAGTTAAATGTTTTTTTTATATTTAAAAATCATTATTAATGAAACAACACCTAAATGGACCATACCGTCTTTCCCATCAAAATTGTAGGAAGCATTGTTATATCATGATGACGATCAGGCTTCACAGTCTTCCTTTTGCGATTGAAATCAACGGTTATAGGAATGTGATCAATCATCGTCCTCCTTGACAACTCCCTCATCTTTCCTAGTTCGATTCTTTTTCGTTTCTTATTCCAATTTTAAGGGACTATGCAGTTCTTACCTTATGTAACTTTAAGTTAGATGAATGATCTTCTAACTAATCGTTTCTCAATTATAACTACTTTAGGGAAAAATTTTACTTAAATATGAGACATTCATCTACTCCTAGGGTTTTTACATTTTAGGCTCGTTTTTACATTTTAGGCTCAGTAGGATTAAGAGCCAATCATTATCCAATTTAGGAACAAGAGTCTTCAAAACTCGAATATGAACATATGTACAATGATTTGTCATTTAAATTAAACCTAGACTGTTATTACAGTGGTATGAATGAATGTTTTCTTAATCTAACAATGAATTACTGAATTTTAAAGTAGCAATGAATGACTGAAGTTCGAAAATACCATAAATATACAACTTGTTTATGCTTCACAAGTTTTCCCAAAATTGTTCCTAATCTGCGAAGTATCCTAAAGTTCTAAAATCTTTCTTTTAAAGAAATCAAATTCCAAATAGCAAAAAAACTCCCAAGAAAACCACTTCTCAATCATTCGATCACAGCATGACCAACCGCATCAGTCCCATTCGCTAAAGCACATGCCATAAAAATCAAACCCATTCTTCTTGGTGATGTCGGTCCATCCCCATGAGCTCTATTTACCACAATCACATCCCACTACATACTCACCACTTCATTTGGTAGTCCTATGAAGGCAAACTTACATTACTTCATCACAGATCTTATCCCTTAAGATAGATCGCAGCTTGAGTTTCATGATTGATCATAGCGAGAGAGCTGAGCAAGGCATGATCGAGTTTATGATATACATCTTAGTTGTGGTTCCTGCAATTCTGAATGTAGGGGCAATATAATCCATTTAGGTTTTTTATATATAGTCCACATATACAGGCTGACTTTTAACTTTAGAGGCCAAATGAGTTTCTTCTTAAAAAAATGGGCTCCTAGACGTTTTGAAATTGTCTTTCAAAAATTTATGATCTAGCCCCTAACAAATTAGTTAATATATAACAAATTAGTTAATATATATATATATATATATATATATATATATATATATATATATGAAGATTTTACCTTTCGAGACCACCGATTCCACAGGGGAAGATGTTATGTGGAGTGACAATCTGCACAACAACATACAAAAGTTGAAGATTAGAATCCATCGATCAAAATAGTAACCGAGAGATATCTAAATGGAAACCTTATCATCATTTGACCCAACTTCTTTAATTGTGTGAGAATCCATTATAAATAAGAATCCCTTGCAGCTTCTACCATAGCAATAGGAAGGAGAAGGAGTATTCAGTCTTCTGTAGCTGAACCAAATATGATATGGAGCTCCACTACTTAAAAGGCAAATCAAGATGCCAAAATCGTACATTCTTTTGTTTGTTGGTAAAACCCATTAAAGAGGAAGCTAAAAGCCAAAATCGTACTTGCTACTTTCTGCATTGGTTAGAGTAAATATAAATTGTAAGAATTGTTTGTTGTATATTGAGCTGGATCATACCATATTCATGTTCTCTCTGCATTAGCTTTCCCAAATGCAGGTTCTGATTTTCCCTAAAAAAAGAAACTTAGCTTTTTTTAATATAAAATTTTCTTTTATCAAAAGCAATAATAATACGTTTATGCTTACAATTTCCTAATCATATTTTCAATCAAATAAAATAAACTACAAATTAAGAACAACTTGACGTAGAATGTTTTATCCGACATAACATATATAAAATAAACAATGAATTAAGAACAACAATTTGACTAAAATCTTTTACCAAAATTAAAAAAAAACGAATATAAAACATACTCTTATATATATAACTTTATTTATGAAGTAGGTCAAGTTGCATCATTTAAAAAAATAGAAACTTTTGGGACGTGGGAATGAAAAATAATATAAATTTATTGGAGTTGGTTTTGGTACCAATAATAATTGGATAATGACTTAAAAGGGTAATATATTTTTTGATTTGTACACATTTAGTCACTGACTTTTTTTTCCGTCCATATTTACCCCTTTAACTTGTTAAACTGTACACATTTAGTCCTTATGACCGGCTACTCCAGGTTAGCCGGTAAAAATGACTTAATAGGGTAATATATTTCTCACTTTGTACACATTTAGTCCTTAATATTTTTGTACACATTTAGTCCTTAATATTTTTTTGTTGCAAAATAAGACATTTTTATTTTTGTACTCATTCAGTACTTATGAATGATTTCTTTAGGTTTTCTCACAACATCTTACGTGGGATAGCCATATGGTGGCGGGATAGGTTGAGGTGGTCTTGCTATATGTTGTAGGCCAAGATACCTGGTGCGGGCCGGCTGTAAGCCGTAGGCACGGAGGCACGAGAAGAGCGGTTGGGTTAAGGCGGCATGCCGACAAACCCTAGGTATTCCAGTCCGATGACTGATTGGACCCGTTGCATGTTGGCATTCCAGTCCGATGACTGATTGGGCCAAGGTATTCCAATTTGATGAGTGTGGGTCCATTATGCATGATAATATACATTTGTTGTATCAGGTATTTTGAGGGAAATTCACTAAACTTTGTGTTTACCCAGTTGTTTATGTTTTCAGGTTCTATCGTTGATCGTGTGAAGGCATGACTTTACACACTCATCAATAGTATTGAGGATTCCGCGTTTCTTATATTACTCTGATTTTTTATAAATGTATTTTGGAATAAACGCTTTTTCTTAATAATGGATTTATAATTAGGGAGTTTTGCCTTATTTAAAAATGAAAATCTTTGGTTGTGAAAATGAGACGTTACACATAAACATCAACAACCCTGCACTTCATCAATGACTATCCCACGTAAGATGTCGTGAGAAAAACCTAAAGAAATCATTCATAAGTACTGAATGAGTACAAAAACAAAAATGACTTATTTTGAAACAAAAAAATATTAAGGACTAAATGTGTACAAAATATTAATGACTAAATGTGTACAAAATGATAAATATATTACCCTATTAAGACATTTTTCCCGGCTAACCTGGAGTAACCGGTCATAAGGACTGGATGTGTACAGTTTAACAAGTTGAAGGGGTAAATGTGGACGAAAAAAAAATTCAGTGACCAAATGTGTACAAATCAAAAAATATATTACCCTTTTAAGTCATTATCCCCAATAATAATTCAGTCAAAGATGTGATACAAGATGTACAAATTGATTTCTTTACTATCAGACTTTCCCAATATATCCAAAGTTACAAGACTGTGTCATTCTCTATTAGTGAAGGTCCGATTTTGAATGGAGTAACCTATTTCGGTTTCAATAAGATATAACAACTCATAGCTTTATGTTATGGTTATTGGTTAGCTTATACTATACAAGATAAATTAAAGACATCAAGAAGTAATTTAACATGAGATGAGAGGGAAGGAAAATGAGATGGGAAACAAGGGTACTATTAGAGTAAGATTTTTTTTTCTATTATCTTTCTTAGAAAAAAGAAAGAAAATATGGAAAGATGTGATTTATTTTTCAGAATGGTGCAAGTATTGTTGATGACAGAGAAGCTTATAATCTTTCAACAAACATATAAAGTCAATTTCTTGTTTTATCTATAACGGCTCAAACAAGTAAATTTTGAAAGTCATGGATCATGGATGAAAAGTGGTCAACTTGGTCGAAACTTATCCAAAATGTATTCAAAACAAAGTAACAAACAACCGTTATAGTCGTTTCGTTAGATGATGTGGACTTTGTTTTATTTCTTATAAAACAATTACAAAATAAGCCTTAAAACACATAAACTTAAGCCAAAACAAACTAACACGATTATATAATTAACCCAATTTTCATTATTGATCTAAAACAGGGACATAAACACTAACTAACAGAGACATAAAACATTAAATAACATGAATGCGTGAGACAAAAACAGCTAGAAACAGTGAAACTAATTTTCTGTGACGAGAATTCATTTTAAGAATCATATCTGTGGGTATCGTATAGAGTGTAGTTCCATTAGTCACGGACGTATGTTTTCATTTGGGATAATTTTGAAAAGTGATTCTCTTCGAGTTTTAATCAATATCAAACATAATTCAATTTTTTCGCAAAAGAAGAAAATAAAGGTGGCAAATAAGAAAATACAAGGGAAATAGCATGGAAACAGTTGTGATCTGTTGCACGAAATAAGTATATGAAATTCAATAAATATGTTACATAACTAACACGGATAAAGTTTATCAAAGATATAATGTACATTATAATTTTGTAAGCATGCATGATGAATATTTACTTTAGAACTATTTAATCCGGTGTTCTATTTAACTTATTAATAAATTCCTTGATCCATGGCTTTCATCTCCTTCCACTTCCAATCAACCCGATTCATTCCATTTGTGTTCAGATGGCCGAGCATTGGTAAAAACCGACTCACTTTTGGTTGTTCCTGCTACTATGTTTGTATTGATTTCTTGGAACCCTTAATTTTGTTTGTGTGGTGTAATTAGACTACCCCATCAGTCCAAAGTGACGAACAGATCGGCACTTTTTAATTAAAAAAATGAAAATTAAATGTATATGTGCGGCCTAGACCACATGGACGATCCAATTTCACCAAAAGTTCACCAAACTTTCTTGCTACGTGTTTAACAATCAAAGGCTAATTGTATATATTTTTTTTAGATTTTTTGATAAGAGTTATTATCCTTAAAAATCCAATAGTATCCTAAAAAAAAATTGAAAAAAATACTAAAATTCATGATTTTTTTTTCTCTATAAATAGAATATAATATTAATATATAGTTCATATCTCATCTTAACTCTTCATTTCTAAACCCTTTTATTTCTTTGATACCATGAATCCAAATTTCATTTTAAATCTTGACGATTTCAAGATTATCAAAACTTTCAAGGTTATGAAAGCTCTCAATTTTTCAAAAATCACAATCAATTCCCTATCACTGAAAATATTCAAACCTCACAAAATACCGGAAAAAACCCAAGAGGCGATAATGGGATGCTGATGAAGATATCGCTTTAATGTCAGCATATTGCATCGTTAGTGAAGATAAGCATCGTGGAAAAAACCAAAAAAAACATCAATATGGGCACAAGTTGTGACAACTATCAACTCAGAATCAAACAAAGTCAACAAGTCAGCCAAGTCAACTCGACTAGTATTAGGATTTTAAGATAAGCGCTAGGGTTCCTAACATTCCTAATGTACAACTTACGAATATTAATACAAAGTACATCGTTTTTCATCAATTATTGAATAAAAATCCTATGTAGGATTCACAACGCGAAATTTGATAATTCAAGTATATATTATTTTGGCAAAAAAATAATATTCATAACACAATGTGCTAATACCTTTGATGATATTGAGTTTTTATAATAATTTGAATTTTTACGATTCAAATTAAGTAATTATACATAATGTTACCACACTTTTTTTTTTATATAAAACATCACACTTTTTATAAAAACAATACCAACATTTTATAAAAACTAAGAAAGTTGACTTTGCCCATAACTAGACAAGACTTGTCTCATCTTTTCCAACAAAAACATTACCCAACATGTAACCAAGTCATTAACCATCAAATAACCATGCAACGCCCCACCACCCCACCCGTCATCCCCTCCCCTCTCCTCCTTTTTAATTGTGGCCGAATCCCCCCCCCTCCTCTTCATCTTCATCTCTTCTTCATATTCTTCATTTCTCCTTCAAGAACAAGCTCCAATCTTTCAAGGATAATACTTCATAAGTTGGTTCTTAGATTTTTGGTAAGCATTTCCTTGTTAATCTAGTGATTTTACACACAATCATACTAGTTTTACTACATTTACACACATTAACATGTGTTAAAATCCATAAGATAATACCTTCTTCAAGTGTTCTTCAGCCATCTTCAAGTGTTCTAAGCTTGAGGATCTTCATCTTCATCTCCTTATCCACTAAGGAATCCACTCAAGGTGAGTTCATACCCCATATTTTCGAGATTTTCATGTTTTAGGGGGGGGGGGGGGGGGGGGGGAATACAAGTAAAATGGTATATCAACACAAGTTATTATGCATGATTCATCTCTATGTTGTATATAAAGTATTATTTGCTTGAAATGAGTTTATTACTAGTTACTTGAACATTTATATGTGGTATGTTAGTTTGAAATACAAAACTAAGAAAAATGTAACATACCGACTCCTAGATATAATTTTAAATGTTTATTTTATGCATATTGTCAGGGCAACTCGACGAGTTGGAGGTCCCATTTCGTCGAGTAGAGAGTGAGATTGGCCGCATGGTTTTAGAGCCAACTCGACGAGTTGGTGGACCGAACTCGACGAGTTGGATACGAGTGAGAAAACCCTAATTTTTAGGGTTTGCATCCTATTCAAAGGACCTTAAGTC